CACAATTTCTCGTATGCCCACCTATAGGGAATCCATCCCACTCAATAATAGTGCCTCCTCAAGTGCCTCAGATAAAACTTGAAATGTGTTTGATTTGAGTGATATTGTCCCAATTATGGTTTGTCCCATATCGCTTTATAGTTAAACATCCCATTAATGGAATATTACTGTGGTCAAGTGTTTAGATTAAATTAAAATGGAAAAGAGAGGATAAGTGAGGAAAATATTAGACAGCTTGAAAGTGATAAGTTTAAGTTCTGTATAAATGAAAAATAGGAATCTTCAATGTTCATATATGTGTTCCAGAGAGGCGTATGAGGAGAGGGAGACCTTATTGTAAGATAGAAATGACCACATCACTTTGTTGTCCCGACACTCGATTGAGTGGTTTGTAGGAGTTATGATTGGTTGTCAAGGTTTATGTCCTACCTGCCCAAATATGTCAGTCTGCTCATGTTTTTAATTCTTCTCTTTTCTCTCTAAAATTTGAATGAAGTGCCTGATTTTCCTTGATTTCTATAGAGGTGGATGTCTGCAGTTGATGCCTGTGTGTTTTGTTTTTATCTTTATCATATATTATCAGTTGTTTTTCATGTTTTTCATTGTATCAGTGTTATGGGTAATAGTCAACATTTCAGCATATCATATCTGGTCATTTTTGGTTGTCAAATATTTGAAGGAGTAGATGATAAAGTTGTTAAACCACAAAAATCTGTAAACCTGTCAGTTATGGAGAATAACAAAGCACTCAGGCTTGAATAATAGAATTCCAATTAGTGATTACCTAACAGAGGTTTAACATAGTGGAATACTGTACATTCATTAAAACAAAGTAAAATAGCAGCATTTACATAGAAGTATTGGATTAAGAATCGGAGAAAGTGTAGAAGTCTTTGAGTGTTAATAAGAGTAAGGATATATGTGAAAGAATAACATTGTTTTTATAAGGATTTTCTGTGGAGAGACAGCAAGAATGAATGATAGAGAGATTTCTAAATGATTACAATTTGTAAATAAGGGTAGGAATAGTATTTAAGATGGTAATCTCAGAGAACTGTATCACTGAGAGGTGAATTAACAGATATTAGATGTATTGATACATGTACATCACTGATAAAGAGTTATTGACATTGACATGATAGCTTTTGACATTGACTTGATATTTACCTTATCTTCAGATTCTTGACAAAGCTGATTCCTTACCATTCTTACACTTTATCTGCCTTGGGCCTTAAGTATGACAATATGATATTCATGTTTTATAGTGTAAAATACAGAGGAAAAGTGATGTATGAGAACTTAATTATTCTGGTATGAACCCTAAACACTTTAGATTATATAGAAATACAAAATATGAATCACTCCTTCATATTTGGGGAAAAGAACTCACGAATCAAGCGAAATATTAGAATTGACTAATTAGCAACAAACTCTGAAAAATACCAAAGACATCCTGGTTTTACTTAATACATGTGATAACTGGATAATCAATCTTCATATTTATAATTTTATATGAACTGCCTTATTATTGTATTCCTCTATTCATCTCTCATTCCTCTGTATTTTACATTAAAACATGATTTATCATGATGACATTTTAACAGAGCTGATATAAAAGAATAATCAATGATGTTACAGTGTAATGTAAAGTTCAGATAACAAACTATAACAATTAGAGTCAATAATTAGAGACAAAAATCAACTTGAATCAGATGTCATCTTAAAGAATTCAGACTGTACTAACTTCATAATTTAGGATTATTTGGAATAATATAATGAATCAAACAGGAAAACTGCAATGAGTTAATTGAATTAAGTTGACTAAAAACAAATCTGCAATTCTCATGACCGTCACATTGACATTACTAATGGATTATTAATTATTGACATTATAAAAAGGAAGTGTTAGTAACAAACAGCTGAGATAACTATGGAGACTTTTACAAGATGTATATGATAGAACAGAGTCTAATATTGGAATAAAAACTGAGCACAGGACATACTATTCTGGATTAAAGCATTGAAATATAGGTCCCCATTTAAAGGACTGAAAGACATTTTAGAAAATGATCAAAAGCGCAGTGCATCACCCGCAGAGGGTTAGAAAGGTGTCTCTGACTGATAAACAAAAGGAGGCAATGAGAAAATATAAAACTAAGTCTATCATGGGAGATATTACTGTTATACAAAAGACTGCAGATCCACAAAGTAATTCTATTCAGTTCTCAGTGGTGAAAAACTTTTGGGTAATTTATTCTTTTACTATTTATTTCTATTTTGAACATACAATATTGTTTATTTGTAAGTATTGCTTAAAGCCCAAATAAACTGCATTATGCCCATCTCAGGCTGGGTTCATTTTGGTCCATGCTACCAATCAGGGCAATGACAAGGGAAGGCACATTTCTCAGGGATGTTTCTTGGTATGAAAATCTAGAACTGATTTAATTTTTTGAATATTAGTACACACAGAATTGTGATAATATCTTATATCATGTGACATTTTCTTAAATTCAACAATCTATTAACTGATCTGAAGATTGTATTGAACTCCCACTCATCATGTGGGATGAGCAAATAGACTGATTGTGTCAAAATGTCAATATATTTTTCCTCAGCTGCATTCCAACTTTCTGGGATATCAGCGCCATCTATCAGCTCATTTCTCAAATGTTAAGATTGCCTGAGTATTCTGTGTAAGGTAGCGATGGTCTGAATTTCATATTTTATTGCTTAATGCTTAAAAGGTCTGGTAGCTGGCATTGTAAATATCACAGCTTTCTAACATTTCCGTTTTACATTATACTAAGCATTTTTTTCAAGGTAGAGATGATCTACATCTGAGAATACATTTTCAATTCTAAAGTAAATGTTTAAAAGGTCTGGTAGCTTGCATTGTGAGAGATCACAGGTTCCTACCTGTTCCATTCTAGTAGGCATTCTTTCAAAGGTAGAGACATGGGCTTTCAAATAGAGAATTGTGAGAGATCACAGTTTCCTACCTGTTCCATTCTAGTAGGCATTCTTTCAAAGGTAGAGACATGGGCTTTCAAATAGAGAATTGTGAGAGATCACAGTTTCCTACCTGTTCCATTCTAGTAGGCATTCTTTCAAAGGTAGAGACATGGGCTTTCAAATAGAGAATTGTGAGAGATCACAGGTTCCTACCTGTTCCATTCTAGTAGGCATTCTTTCCAAGATAGAGACATGGGCTTTCAAATAGAGAAAGCCCATGGTAGAGATGAACTGAATTTCAGAATGCATTTTCAATTCTTAAGTAAATGTTTAAAAGGTCTGGAAGCTGGCATTGTGAGATATCACAGGTTTCTACCTGTTCCATTCTATAGTACAGTGTAGGCATTCTTTCAAAGGCAGTGAAGGTATGAGTATCAGAACTGGTAGGTGGAGTAGTCCTGATAAACATGTTGCATAAGACTAACAGTTGGGAAACTCCAGGAATAAATGGATAACCAGATGATAACATAGAAAGGTGGAAACTTAATCAGTTTCACAAGATAACAAGGTGATCATGGTTTTCTCTAAAGCCCTATGAAAAGTATAGGTTTTCTCGATTTTCTTGACAATTTAGCAAATTATTTTAATGCCCATTTTGGTGGTATCATATACTAGGTACTGTATACAAACTCTTGGTGAAATGGCAGATAAAACTGATATTTCTCAGATAACTGGGTATTTATAACCAGGTTTGATAAATCAGAGCCCAAACATTAAATATCTGTCCATTCATGTTTATTCCATGCTATTTCTCTCTAAAATTTGAATAAAGTATCTGATTTTCTTGCATTTCTATACAATTTAGAGTGTTAACTACATGCTTATTTACTTTATTCCTTGCTGATTCATCTCCTTTGCACTCTATTTTGCATTTGAAAACATGGCCCACATGAAAGTTTACCCATATGGAACAGTATGATATTTAGAAATGCCAGCTTTCTGGAGAGGGATGTAGGTTAAATAGAAAGAGATAGGTTTCACATTGAGTAATACAGGTAACTGTAGAAAAGAAAAAACTAGGGAATATTATTCATTGGCTTCGTTTTTTATGGGACTATATAAAATAGAGTAGGAGAATGTTAGGGTACATCAATTATTTTGAAGTGGGAGGATGCAGAATGTTATTTTTTAATAAGCACTTCATGTCCAAACATTAAAGACTTTTTTGTTTGTTTGAGAATGCAATAAAAAAACACTTCTATTTAGTTTTGGTCAAAAAAGTGGTTGGTCAGTGGTGGTTACTCATTTTGTTCACTTGACTTTACACAGTCTATAATCTAAATTAAACCAAACCACTTTTATCAACGAAGAAAGTTAGATTCTGTGTTCAAATGTTTCGGAAGGAAATAAGTAAAAGTATTCTCAGCTTAGAGAATTATACAATACATTAATAATTCGATTAAAACAATTAAGGAGGCTGGATTTTTCAAATACTTTAAAAATATCAGTTATGTTAAAATGGAGCAAAAATACTAATTTTCTAAGAAATTGACGAATGTTTTACCATAAAGAATCAGGGCTGACCCATTAATTGTAGGAGCTTGGGATGTCATGGTCAATTTATTGACACTAGAGTGCTACTTTGAATTTATTGACCTCTCATATCCTGCTACTCATAAACTTAGCAATCAAATAAATTTTTATGTGATTGGCACTGACGGAGTTTGTAGTGGGCAAGTCATGGAATCATAAAATGTGTTCCCTTTATTTGATTCTTAGAGGAAAGGAAATGAGACGCTTGTGTCTTTATGTGCAGCCTACAAATTTACATATCTGCCATATCCACATTGTCTTGAACAACTGACAAACTTGTAGAATTGGCATCTGTTTTCTAATTTGTCAGTTTCCTAAGCTATGTGTGCAATTGCACTGAATTCTTGAGTTTTTTTATTGCTCATTAAATAAAATACAAGAGTTTAGATCACTCATAATTATTTCAAATCCAATGAAATAATATCATGAATATGTTATATTGTATGTTCCAGGGGGGCAAGGTCAACGACACCACCAAGGTCAAGGACACCTCAGAGGTCAAGGACACTGTCAAGGTCACAAATACCATCATGTCTTCAACAGATGACTTTAGTGCCATCACAGATGAGGAAGAACTCATGAAAATAGTAAGTAAGAGTTACACAAGAAGGAATCATTCTGATAAACCAGGGTTTACCAGGTAAGAGGAAAGAGATGACATGGTTGATCATGCGAATGCTTCAGCTTACTCTATTGATCAGGCAAATTATTAAGCATATCACCTCTTCGATTACCTCTAGATTCACTCAGAGAGTCAACATGAAGAATAAGAGTTGATTATTCTGATTATTCTGAAAATTAGACATAGTATCGTAAAGGTCAGGTCACATGCTCTTCTTAAATGTTTCTTCTGTTCAGTTTGATTCTGCAGCCTCTTACACAATGTAGTCTTCTACTCTTTTGATGGTACCCTTGGCTTCCATATTATTGGGGGTTTGTGAAGTGCAGGCTCAGTTGGCATTGAGCTGTTCTATTCATACTCCTGCTTTATTATATGGAGGAACCAGGTTTGAAATCTGTCTTTATTCATTGAAGAAGATTTCTTTGTATCCCCATAGAACCAGAACTCAAATTATTATTGTATAAGCAAGGTCTGTATTATTACTCAGAAAGTAGTAATTGCTTCTAGCCTCTGTCCGTCAGGGTAGGCAAAGTACGTAAGGATGCTTATTTTGATTGCTTGACTCTCAGTCAGAGTGTAATTATTACTACCAGTATTCTAATGATTTCAGGGTAAACATAATGCAATGAGATAATGTTGATATATTAGTGTCTGTCCTAATCAGAGAGAATTATGAAAATCCTCTTTAACTCAGGGTATCTAAAGATGGGATGCCTGTCTTTATTACAGTACTTTATTGAAGTAAGATAGTATTTTGGTTGGTTATGTCATTATAATTTGCACCAGGGTAACCCTAGCTGGTTTACCACCTACAGCCTCTAGGTAATCAAGCCAATCCAATCATAAATCCTGGTATTGGTCATGTTTTCTTTTGTACTTTGAGAGAAAATTAGAGGAATTTGAGAGAATTGAAGTAGATAGGGATGAAGAGCATACACTAAATTGTATAGAAATTCAAGAAGCAGCAATTCAATCCGGTTTTGGAGAGAAAAGAGTGAAATTAGGATGACCTGAGGGGGATATTTTGGAGGGGATTTTTGCTTTGAAGAAATGTTAAAAATAAATCTTTATGGGTTTCCAGTAATGTTGAGTTAAAGCAGGTTTCTCTTTTTATGATTTATGCAGGCTTTGGTTAAAAAAAGTTTCAGAGACGTTTCCGCATATCATATACATCTTGTCAAAATATCAGTTCTTCCTTAAAAATGGAAATATTTGTAAACAAGTTGAGTATTTCTGAATATTGTTTATATTGGGTTTTTATTTGATTCATTTCGAAAAAAAAGTTTGCAATATTAGGAAATGATAGCTTTGCCCAAATTAGGAGTGTTTTGATTGTGTCCTGAATATCCTTTGGCATCATACCAATGTTTTGATTATTTGCAATATTTAAAGTCAAAATTATTATTGCTTTTAGAGGCTATGCCCTAGATCCAAAAGTTCTGCAACATTTGCTTCGGTTATTTAACATTTGATGAATATTGGCCTGTACCCCCCCCCCCCTTACAGTATAGTGGTTTGATAAATTCAACCATTGATTCAATTAATTCAACCATTGACATAGGCATATGGTTACCATGGTTAGTATATAGAAAGGTAAGTGGTACATACAGATTCATTCATACTGCAAGCCTAGCCTGGAAGACTGTATTGAGCCAAGTGAAAGATTGAAAAGAATTTCAGCATAATCAATCAGCAGTCTGTGATTCAATCCATCTATGCAAGATGCAGAAAGGTTAAATAAGTTAGCATGTTCCGCTATGCCCCGGGTTAAGATAAACACGAAGAACTCAAAGCACGGCTGTTAATTTCCCTTGCATACACATGTAGTTTTCCTCTACATTTTATTTGTTTTTGCCTAAACAGAGTACAAGGGAAAAAATAATATTGCTATCTTTAGATGTTTAAAATTGTACGGAGAGAGTAAAAAAATCTTAAAATCTTCAGGGGGAGTCTGATGGTAGGCAATCTACATCAGTTTTAATTTTAACAAATTGTTCCACACTTGCGAAGCCTTCACTTCTTATTATCAAATACATAGCTGCATTTTTTCTTGAAATTACCTTTTTATATATAACACAATGAGAATATCTTGAAATGAAGGGCAAACCAAAATCTCCTAAAATGCATGTTAAAAGAAACCTGCCAGAAGGAAGCAAACGAAGTTCCATACAGATAGCTAGAATAAGGCACAGGAGTTCAAGTATATTCAATTTTGAAAACATGAACCTTTAACCTTTAGTATATCATGCGTAAAATGATGCCACTGTAGAATGTATTTGTGAAATTGTAGATAATTGTTTATCAAAGTACATTCTGAATGACGAGGCTTACAAGACATTAGGTACACAAGAATAGATAACATTCTTGTTTGTTAGGAAAATAAGAAAAATAGCTACTTATGATATTCTTAAAATACACACTGACCTGAAGTCCAACTGACTTCAAATTCAAAGTCATTAATCACAAAACGTCAGTCATTCTTTTCACACCAAATACATGTAGCACCCATTCGGTAACAAATATCTGTTCCAACCAAATATCTATTCCACACCAAATATCACCCATTTTACACTAAATAACACCATTCCACAACAAATACCTCTAGTTTCATACCAAATGACATCCATTTTTTGAAATGGGACTGTATAGCAAATATGACTTATTTCATACCAATTTAAACGAAATAGCTCCATAAATCAAACCAAATAGCACCTGAAAATAGCAAATATGATTTTACATGACAACAACGCTAAAAATTATGCAGAAAGTGACCACTGTGCAGTCTTATAGGGACAAGGGACAGAAAAGAGATGGCAATGTTGAGATATTTTGTGTGGGTATCTCATTGCTGACATTTACCTGTGTAAGGTGGCTAAGGTCAATGGGCCATAAATAATTATTTCACTGTTTTAAATATAGAACTTGTTTTCTCAGAAAAATATTTGAATGTTGTTCTGGCCATTTTTCTTTGCGTCTCTGAAAGAAGGCTTCATTGACATTGTATAACAAACTTCTGCTGATGAATGCAACTTTGACTCACCAAAAACATTTTTTTCTTGATAAACATTGTAGATATAGACACTGCATAGTAATACAGAGATAACTAATTTTGATCAATTTGCTGATCTTATATAACTTGGAAGTCACAAAAATGTAAAAAGTCACATTGAGGCTTTAGGTATACTCTGTGTTCTAAAAATATCTTGAAATTTTTACAGTACATGCATTATAAGACTCAAAATATGTGTAGAAAGTTTTGTCAAGATTAGTAGCCATTTACTAAAGTTATTTGAGCTTTTTCTCAATAAGAAAATACTTTTGATACAGAGGGTTGAAATGTACCAAATAATTCCTGTTATTTTCATTTTATGTGACCACCTGTGATCTACATAAAAACATGGGGTTATATAACATGTCCATGTTCATATAGAAATACAGATTCTCTCCATTTCGATGGAATGTAAAATATATCCCCTACATTGGTAAACATTTTACAATGATTGGTATTTTGACAGCTGCCTATGTTGCTGGAATATATCAAAGTGTATCTTCAGGTAAAAAAGCCAGAACATACGAGCCTTGCTAAATATCTACCAGCTTCATTTATAAGATGCCGAATCATTATTATGTTATTAAAGTTTTTGTGGAGCAGTATAACCAATTACTTGAAAAATTGGGTTAGTCAATTACATCCAAGTGAGGTACCTACAGTTACATAAGATTAGGATACAGTTCTCGTTTGTTGGCTTGTGACTGGCGAAATAAAGAGCTTCTTGTTTTTTGTGGAGCAGTGTTTGGCAAACATTTTTTTTATCGGATATCTTGTACCAAATTCACTTGTCTTATCTTCAGTAATGTTTCAGGTGTCAATGTTAATTTGAGGTTTCCTACGTTATGTAACACCTCTTGGTGAGTTAATGAAAGTTAGTTTCACTGAAACTAGACATAATTGTCAAAGCATCTTTTCTTAATTATATTCTTTGAATCAATACCATTTTTTTCTTGTATCAGTACAATACCCAATGGAAGCAAATTACTACCTGAAAATTCAGGTAACTAGTTTGGCACCAGGAAAAATTAGTTTCAGGGCCTGTTCAAATGTACAGTATGTTGTATGCATAATATGTTCTGTATTTCTTCTGAATGTGAAAAAAATGATTGCTTTTGCATTATATTTACAGCCTTCCAGAAAATATCCCCCAATTTTCCAAAACCAACTCATTTACCTAATATTTTTGTATTGAGTTGAAGTTCAGTGTGAACCAAAATATGTATGAGATACTCAGTTAGATAGAGTTAAGTAATATGTATTGGCATAGCATGGGAGCATATGCTTATTTCTTGAATGTTAAACATTCCTGAGAGATACATCATACATACTCTTCTAATACATGAAGATGAGCATTCCTCATAAAGGTCTATCCTACCACCTGTATGTGGGAAGATTCTTTTATCCCTTTTGGACTACCTTCAGGCAGATTTATTGGCCATGGGATAATCCAATATCCTGAACCTTATAGAGGATAATCTCAATATATTTCTTTGTCATTAAAGTCTTTAACTTTGATCAGTTATAGGCCTTCTAGACTCTTATAGTGCATTAACCATCAATGAAATATGCTACTATTACACGACTATTCTTATATTACCACCAAAATGGTGACATATTATTATATGAGACCATTTTTTGTGACTGGCATTCCATATTGGTGATTGTTGGTCAGTGTTTGTTCCTTGAAGAGAGGTGTTCCATCTAATAAGTTTTACTGTATGTATTACCATAGACCATGGTTCAAATAGGTTACTTATATTTTCAGTTAAACAAAACAGAAAACTTTGATGACAGAAAGAAGATCAGGGCCCGGTTACGAGTGATACGAGAACAAGCTAGAGGTAAGAAAGGTCACCCTGTTTTAAAGGATCTTGTTATGCAGTACACATGGTTCGCAGTACACATAGTTACTCTGAGTCACACATAATTTAGGATGAATATTTATATTGATGGGGTCAGTGCAAGAAATACAAGGATAGCAAAGTTTTCCCGTCTAGTTTCCATGGCACATCTAAATATTTCTATGATGTTTTGTTATTAATTGTCCAAAGTGCCATGGTACTAAGATTATGGGAGTCGATGCCCTGTAATTTTTAGAAACTGGAAAACTTGCATTTGATTCCATTTAACCTTCAAAATATGAAGATTTCATGTTGAGCTTTAAAATACCATACATATGCAATTCAGGGGGTGAGGGGATGTTGCACCTGAGCAAGAAATGAGTGCAATACCACACTTCATAATTACCACCAGTGACCTTTTGCAAATCCATTTCTCAGTGGTTTTATCAATACAAGACCCTTCATAAATACAAATTCGTGAAGAAAAGAGATGAAATAGGAAGAACATTTAGTCACTAGTCAAATATCTCGCAGAAAACAGAAACATCTTTTTAATGTCTCATATTTGATTTTTTTATTCTCTGTTGATCATTATTAGTGTAATACCATTCTTTAGAAATCTCATCACAAAAATAAAAGATATATTACCCATAATTCCAGCTGAGGCAGAGAAACGACGTCAAGAACGTGAAGCTGCATCAAAAGATGTTGTCAAAGAGCGGCAAAGACGTGCTGAGGAAGAAAAACAGCGAAAATTACGAGAATTCCAGGTAAACCAACAGAGCCATCTATCTTTAATTTTCAATCATTCAATTATACACAATTTATATTATTCTTATTAAGATTTAAAAAATCGTAGTTGTTATGTTTGTAACGGTTCAAGTTTCAGCATGTATATTTCTGTATAGCTCTTTCTGTCTCTATCTCTACTCGTTTCCTTCTATATCGTCTTTGTATTCTTGTTGTTAGATTTATTGAGTGGAAATCTTTCCTTAATATTTCAATATCTTAATGGTTTATAATGTGAAAATGTTAAGGAATCTTTCTACAATTTTCTTTGACACTTTGTATCTGAGGCTTAACGTTAAAAAAATGGTTTGCAAAATTAGATAAACTTAAGTGACACTGTGAGTGATGTCATTCCTGTATACTCTAAACACTTCCAAAAATGGAAAATAGTACATTTTGTTTGAAGTCACGGAGAATCTAATAATGAGACTTTGAGCCTCTGCTGTTTATGCATGTAACATTTAAATGTTTGGAAGTTTCTGAGTATTTCCTTCATTTATTTATGTACATTTAATTTAGTCTTGCATCGGGTCTGGTTAATTCCAGTTTCCAACTCTTATGTTAGACTGAGAAGGAGAGAACAACACTAGGGCTTTAGTAGGGCTTAATGCAAGACTACCTGGAATTCTCTTGAAAATATAGAAATTGTAAAGGCCATTTCAAGAAAATGATTTCACATGTTATGTGTAGTTAGCTTGTAATGTTTTTATTTTTTTATTTCTTGAAATGGTTTGGATAGTTTCTCTATTTTGTCTGTTATATATGTTGGAATTTGCAATTTAAAAGAACATATTTGTATAATATATGCAAAATGGGAAAATATGTACATGTAGTTTTGAATTCCTCTCTGGAAATTTAATTTTGTCAATTTTGATCCTTTTTTGTGAGAAAAAAATCATTAATTTTCTTTTTTGGGGTATCTCAGGATGTTCTCTTGTATGGAGACGACCCCACATGTTCTAAACCATTTCATTTAAATTGCAGAATTCTATGTATTTTCTGGCCTTCTAATCTAAAGTAATGTAATCTATGTCTTTTCCTTAAGTCTTCCATCAAGTCCCCATTTCTTGTCTCTATTCCCTCCTCAACATGTGTTTGACAGATAATATGGAAAGGGCAACACATGAGCTTGATTCAAGACTTTTTACACTTATGCAAAATGTGGTAAATTCTTAAAATTAATTGAGAATTTTGCAAAGTGTACAATGTTTCATATTTCATAGGGTAATAAAAAGGACCAGGTATTATTGGATTTACTTTCTTGCTACGAGGCACTTTTTGTGTGTAATCATCATAAACTAAGTATCACAATATCTAAGATTTTTAATACATGTATTCATATCACATTAATTATACTCAATATCACATTTTATATTTTAATATTTTGTATGCATCATCACATCAGTGATTCTTACTATCACATCTATGAAACTAGATACCACATATTTAATTTGAGTGAATGCTTCACTATCACCTAACATCCAGTAGATGTTTATTGAGAGACATTATTCATTTCACTCAGCCTTCCTTCCTTAAGGTAGACAGATGGTGTAAGGTGTCTCTATGCACAATTGTAATATACATCTACTACCTTAATTGTAACCATATATACACCTGAAATCATGCATACAATAATTAATATATTATATTATATTATAAGGATGATTTCATTTTTTTTACATAAAATTATTTTCCTTCAGCATAATACAAATGATATTTTTCCTAACTTCAAAAATGACAAACTTCAAAAATAAATGTAGATGTTTACATATACTAATAAATACAAGCCATCCACAAGAGACTCATCTACACCATATTACTTGCTTTGATCTGTAGCAATTCATATATAACATAATACCATCTGCTTTACAAGATTCTTCTATTGTTTCAACATACACTTCAGACTTCACACAGAGCTTTAGTAATATAGCTTTGTGTGTTAATAACTTCACTTTGATGCGAGGAAATATAAATACTTTGTTTTATGTTGGTTGAGCAGATTTTTAGACCCGAGTCTTGTTAAATATAGTCATGGATGTGAATTCAATATAAATTATATAAAACAAGTTTCAAATATGATTTGTCTCTCAAAAATAATGGATAAAATGTAGAGTTAAGCTTGTCTAAGTTGAACACTAGACTGTGGAACTGACTAAGACTCTTTTCAATATTAGAAACTATAAGGTCTTGAAAGGCCCTTTCATGTGTATGCTAATTTTGTAAAGTAAAATGAAGAAACCATAAAAACTAAATTATGAATAAGTTTCTATGGGATATGAAAAATGGGATAAAGAGATTTTTAGGTGTTTGTCAAAGAAATGTGTTTACAAACACAGGTTTATCTGTTTATGTTTATAGATCTTTGTAAATTCATCAATCTGTTGAGTTGTTCAGCAATACTAGTGTTTTCCTTCAAAACTGAAAAATTGTTCAAAAGATGAAAACACAAATATTGTTAAACATGTTACAATTAAGCATTTATTTTCAAGTCTGTTTCTTAACTTTCTGTTATCTCTTGATCAACCTTTATTATATGATGGATTTAACATATTGCTCAGTGAATATATGTAGCTGAACCTAAAATTATATTCTTTGTGTAATAATAAGAGGAAAGTGTGATATTAGAGAGATTTCGCTGTATGTAAACTGAAACTAAACATCTCATATATAAGTCACAGATGTCTGTAATCTGATTGGTGCATAATAATAAGTTGTTATCTATAAGCCAATCAGATTAGAGATAGCTATAAGTTATATGATCCATAAGTGATATCATAAGTTATCAGTTTATGCATTTTATATTTAACTCTCTAGTGTAGATTTCACTTTTCTAAAATAGCAGTCTACAAAACATTAACAATATATCTACATATATTCAGTGTCAGTTGTTATAACCATCATATCCTTACCATATTCTTATAAGACTTACTGTCAAAAGCTGGGAAAATATAAACATGAATTGGCTGTAATACTTGTATATTTAATGACCTCATTTAGACAATACCTTCCAATGAAGCTTTGACTGATATTACAGATATCTAAATAAATGATTGCTGAAATACTTTTTTTGAAAAGGCACTTGAAGTGTTTCTTTCTCATATGTGTTTAGTTCTGTATTCATCCCAGGTTTTGACACAGGTCTTCCTATTCTTCTTTGGTACTTTCTGGACCCCATCCTACCATGAGTTTCTTCACAGTATCATCACCTCAACAAGGGGCCTCATTCAAAATAGGTGGAACTACTACCATTGATGCTCCACGCAAGCAAGCTCACATGAGATTATTTGCAGTATCTTTAGCTCAACAAGGGACCTCATTTGGGCCTCATGTACTAATCTGGGTATATGTAGCCCCTTACATTAACCATGATCCTGCAAGTAAGATCACCTAAGTTTGATTGGGTTATTGAGAGCTCAACAAGGGGCCCCACCTCATACATGTGACCCCTTACATTGGACTGTACAGTACCTATGATACTGCAAGCAAACTCATTGTACTATAGGGGCTGGATGGTACAGTTGTTCTTACTCTACAACATATTTCATTTTTCTATGTAGGAAGTAGCCAAACCCAAGGTATTGTTCGTGAAAACCTTTGTGTGTGTTTTATTGCGTTTTTCTTCACCTCCTGTTTGCGGTGAACTCTTTATTCACCTTGTGTTTGCAGTGAATAACATGTTATTCTATTTCAGGAAATTTGGCACTTATGTACATGAATTATTGCAGTGAGGCTTTTTAAAATAATATTTAATTTGAGAATGCATTAAATTGATGCATAAAAAGCAATATTTTATTTATTTATTTATTTATTTACTGGCAGTAATTTGAATAATCCATATCTGATTAATTTATCTGTAATTTTTTAATATGATTTTAGCATCATACCTATTTACTTTTTTACATTTAAATGCTAAATCAACGATTAAGTTTAGAAACATTTTTATTATAGTTTCTATGAAATATTGAGCTTCATTATTTAAAAATTACTTTGGGCGGTATAAGGAGTTTTCATTTTTATTTGCTCTAGTAGCATTTAACAAGTCATGTTTCTTGATTTAAAACTGGACTTCTTGTGTATCAGTAAACTATAAAATTGAATATAATGTTCTTTTGACAAGTGTTGATTGAATTATTGAATAAAAGCATGACATGAACCATTTTTACTAAATATGATTTATATTTTATTTCTGTGTGTGTACAGTATATGGGATGATGGGTGGGAATATGATGCACTGTGTATAAGCATAACATTACTTCAAAGACACCATGTTTTTGTACATCTGCTACTTTAATATGTCCTGTCAGTCTGATGCTTTCATTCATATTAATCTGTAACTTGCACCAATTATTGACTTTGGCACAAATCTTCTTCTGAAGATTGATATATGCAAGTTAGAAGGGACTTTTTTGGAGCTGTATAACAGGTTCTGCTCCTCATGTATTAATAAGATGAGTGAGCTCAAAGGGCAACAATAGAAAAGCTCTGAACAAGTGATCTCATTTGATACATGAAGATTATGTTGTACATATATGTATGTTGTGTATATATATATTAATACTATCACTTGCAAAAATAACATACATCTCTTGTTTCCTATTGACACCTTTTACCTGATGCATTCTTGAATACAGATCATTTTTGGGTCATTTGAATAACTCATTTTCAAAGCTACCAATGTAAGCTATAATTGCACAACAAAATATACTACATAATATCACACTCTAATCGCTAAAAAACATTAGTTAAAACCAAATAAAATTAATTTTAACTTTAGTTGTCATGGACTATCTGCCTTGAATTTAAAAGTAGCTATATGCTTTTCCTCATTTTATGCTATTCATTAACACAAATATCAATTACTCTTCAATTGATATGAAAAGATAAAGGAATCTAAAATGTGTTTGATGTTTCCAGGAGATGGCGGCCGAACCAAAGAAAGATACTGGTATTGACCCAGTTGCTCGTCGTAAGATGGAAGCCGACAAAGCCAAGAATGAAAAACTTGAATCATTTGCTGAACAAGCCAAATATGAATCTTCCATGTATGCACCCCAGTTAGATAAAAAGGTATGCACTATGCTTTTTGAATGATTTCGACCAATTCTCTCCATACAATTGATATGATTACATAAAGTGATCTGTCAAACATTAGAATTAAAATCAGTTCAGGATAGATAGGAGTAGATGGTTAGATCACAAGAATCTAATGTATTTGTCATCAGTATTTCTTCTATTGCTCAGTTTACATGGGAAGCCCCCTCCCCTGTATCCACCTCCAACTTGTACTTGTGCCTGGAGTAGGTTCTTCATGTTTCGTTATGATAATACAGGCCCATAGCCAGGGGGAGTTCGCAGGGTTCGGGCGAACTTGGCCAAAAATTCTTTCAAATTCGTGCAGTTTTTCACCATTTTGAGCACTTCTCAAGTGATTTTAGTCATATTTGGGCCAAAATTGTCAAATGTGAACCCTCCCTGGAAATATTTGAAAACTGAACCCCCCTTGGCAAATCTTGGCTACGGGCCTAATAATATGTTATCAAGGTCACTTGGTTCTATCCCATTATAACTAATATATCCCATAATGACAATATGTCATGCATTTAGGTTGAAAAGAAACTAGCAGAGGCGAAGCAAAGTGGTGAAACAACTACTACAGAAGAGACAACAGAAGATGGCGGCACTAGGACAACAAAAACATCCATGACAACAACTGATAAAGGTACCAATCCTATACATATACTTACCCTTCATCCATATTTTTCTGATTTTTAATTAATTTTCTTTAATTTAAGATTAAATTGAGGTAAATGGGATGTCACATTCTCATAAAAAAACAAAATATTATATTAAGATGGAATCTTCTTGGAATACCCAAATAGTCAGTTCCATTTTTATTTACTTATGTTGTTGTATATTTAAAGGTATATAGTTGGGATAGTTTTTGGGGAATATGTCAAATACCAGGCTTGGGTTTAGATGATATAGTGGTGGACCATTAGATCCTGGGAAAAATTCACCTGTTTATCACATTAAGAAATCCATCAGAAACGTTGTCATCAAGCTAGCAAGAAATCTGTTCATCTGTTCAAGCTATCATTTTTACAAATAAAGAGGCATAGATCCCTTATCAAAGTCAGTGATTTGGGAAATTATAACTATGGATGTCAGAAATTCTTTTTCTAAACCAAAACCAACATAATTTTCTTCAGTTCTTCAATTATTTTTATTCAAACAAAGATGTTTGACTATTAACATTTGATTGCAGATTTTATTTCCCTTTACCCCAAAGCCTGATAAAGTTCCCTGGTTTCTAATGGTCTACTCCTATATGGTGTATTGTAGCTGTTTGTGCATATGCATTTATGAATTAGCAAATCAAAGGATTAGGAAGTTGATATGGCATGATGGAGAATGTAAATAATTTGTACATGTACATAATTCTGGCTATGTTTTTTCCTCATTTATGATTAGTTTTGATGGAGAAAAGAATCAAGAGAATACATACGCAATAAACAACCTATCTTGAAACTCTAGATTCTAAATTTATTCCACATACAATTCCTGATTTTCCCCAAAAAGCGCCGATCTCAGTCTGATATTTGCAGCCAAGAGTTCCCAGATTTCAAATTTCAGAAATCACAGATCCATATTTGATATTTTAAGTTCATACTCCTGTGTTAATTGATTGCTAAAAGACATTGATACTAAATTGTGCTGGGTTTGAATGAAAATTCAGTCATTTTCATTCAAATATGAGAGATGAACATGGCCAGAATTAAATCTTCTTGGATGGATTATGGGTGAAATGGTATAACTGTACATAGTCTTGCTTTTTGGTGTAGATGGTACCACAACTATAACAAAGAAAACCACAACAGTTAGCCAAACCTCGGGAGTGGGAGGAACCGCCTATGCCATTAAAAAATCAGCAGGTGAGATTTGTTAATGTTGTAAGCTTGTGATGCATTTGATGAGATGCATGGTAGAAGTTTTTTCAGGCAACATTGGACAACTAAACAGTGATGTCCATACAACATATGTATCATTACATTTTTTATATTCTCATCAAACTTTTAAAATGTGCACACAACATTCAGATTTTCACACAACTTCCAAAATTGTCATTCCAACTTTTAAATTGTCTAGTTGTCTATTCAAAATTCTATATTGCCCATAAAACTTTAAAATTCTCCACAAAAATCCAAACTAGATAATTCTATGTTGTCTACTCATCGTTTGCCCTGATCTCTGATCTGTCCACGCAATCTTTTACTTTTTTTTCTTTGTATCCTTCCATTGACTTATATTCCTGCATTGTCTACACATCTACACATCTTTATTGCCCATAAACCAATCCTCTGGCCATCCACCAATGTTCACACATTTGCCAGTTTTATTATCATTATAACAATGTTGTCTGAAGAAATAATTCTAGCTTGTTAAGTGCATCATCATAAAGGGTATCAGTAATTAGTTTATATAAGATTGTTTTTTAATAATAGTATAAGTTATGTTATTTAGTTATTTAGTGCAGAAGCGATTGTAATCTTAGTTTATGTGTTGATTTAGTCCACTACTCATCATGCATTGTATTCAGTTCATAGTTTTTGTCATTTTTGTAACTGACAAATTTTAAGATTAATATTGTTGTACAGCATGTCTCTGGACTCACTCATAAAACTGATTTTCAATTAAAATAACTTGTAAATGGTTCAAGTATGTTGGACTTTTTGTTTCATGATACTTTGTGTGTGTATTTATACAATGCATTTTGTTTTGTCAATAGGTGGTGCCACTTAAGAATGTGTCAGCCGTAAGCAATGTATCTGCTTGCAAAGTTCAATTGAACTATTAATACATATACAATTGTACAATCTTTCACTTTATTTGGTTTCAAATTAAATACCATTAGTTTTTACCTTGTTCATCCCCTATTATCACCCATTTTTAAATATGCCCGGTATGTAGTTTAGAATGCATCATATTAAATTGATACCTCTGTTGTCATTTCCAAATTACTTTGAGAAATAGGAGTTTTCTCAAGAATTATCAACACTCCTTCACATTGAATGTTATATTTGCCGCCATATGTTAATGTAGCCACCTGTAGTTTAAAGTTATTTGAATGTTCTTTGTTGTTGTTGTTATTAATGTTGATGTTATTGTTGTTGTTATTGTAAGTTAATGTTGTTTTTGCATGTGCCTTTCATTGCAGAACATTTTTAATATTGATTGCTACTCAATTTGTAAGGTTAAGAAAATGTGTTCAGGGCTCTAATTCATTTATAAATCATGTTTGAAATCAATTGTTCAATGGTTAGACTTGTCCAGAATGTTGACTAGAGAATGTTATTATCACAAGGTTTTATGGGGCACCTAATGTAGGTCATTCCAAATTGAATTTGAGATGGACTTAGTGAGATTTGAAATTTGGGTTGAAAGCAGAAGTGTTGATTTGACCTGGTTTTGGATGATCTGTGTTGGGAATAACTTGGTATACTTTCTCCTGGTTATTTTGATTTGGCATGGGATTGTGTGACCTGGGGTTCATTGAGAGATAAGGTAGTCAGATAAAGAGCTTTGGATGACCTTGGTTGGATCTTTGCTGGGTTGAATTGACCTTGAGTTGAGCTGACCTTGACCTTGGGTGGAGGTAGCATTGTTTGAAATGACCCGTTAGTTCTGCAATGTTAAGCATGTTTTACATATGATTTTCATGCTTGTCGCGTCTATAGAAGAAACCGCCAAAAACCTCGCCAACGATTTTGGAAAAAGCAGCTCACCTGGTACCACTGGCCAAGTTTCTGTGAAAACTCAATCGTGGAGCTCACGCGATGGTGTGATGAAGACGGAGGAGAAGTCCAAATCATGGGGAGGGGGAGGTAACAATCAGCTGACCCCTAGATCTCCAGGCAGAGGCATGGGCGCCATAGCGGCTCTCGCTGGAGGTGACTAACAGCTTGCTATTCCTACTACTAACATACTGTTTCTTTTTACAGTTTATTATGTCACCACACCAAGTGGTGACATATTGTTATGCTGCAACTTTTTTGTCGACAGTGGTTGATGTCCAGCATTTGGCAGTTGGATGTTCGATGGTCAGTGTCTGCAACACAGCATCTGTAACAAATGGCAGGTGGTGACATTTGCATGTTAATGCCTTATTGCTATACACGAAATGATCAAGAATTCAGCATTTTGAGTATGTTATTGTCCCATGTTTAATTATTCAATCAGAATTATTGTAATCAATGTAGTTTTGTGCAGAGTCACAAATTGTAGCTGCAAAAAATCCGAGCTCCATAGGAAAGTTGTACATGCATACATACATGCTGTGTATATTAGGAAAAAATTATTACATTTCACATCAGATTAGAGTTGGTTAAAATGTATTACTTGTTTTCCTCAATTTGGAAATGAAAAGAATATGAATAATTTAATTGATAATTTAATCTTGATTAAATACTCTATAAGCAGACATATGGACAAAACATGGGTAAGTTAATGGTTAGAAGAACTAGTTAACGTTGTTTGTAACATGTGATATTATACAAAGTCTATAATTTTTCTCCAAAATGTTACATTGTTGTTGTTGCTTATGTTTTCAGTTGTTATGATTTTGTTTCTTTGCTTGTTTTGACACAAATCTGAGTCATTTTATACTTAAAGGAGCACTGTGTGTAATTCTGATCATTGATGAACCTAAAAATTTTTGAATGCATAATAACTTGATCACCATCGATAGAATTTTCTAACTTTCTATTCTGAAAAGATTAAGCTTGAAAAATTTCTTGTTTCATAAGCAGCAGAAGTTTCTAAACTGAAAAACAGTACCTCAACCTCTCTCAATTTAAAAAGCAATTAATTCACTCTTTACATATTTTTCAAGCTCCAATATAATAGGAAAGAAAGTTTGTTTATTAAAAATATTTTAGGGTTGTTTAGGATGAGAATTACAGCTGTTAATCCTTTAAATTCATTTTTTTACAAAACTATTTAATGTTTAGTTGGTCATATTTGTCCCAGAACTAGATAAAATATTAATTATAAATGAAGATTCTGTATACATGTATGCCAATACCTGAAGTTTAAAAATAATTTAAAAAGATATTCACATTAGCATAGATCTTGACCATATAAAGACTGTGGCATCAAAGGGGAATTTTCTGATTCTAGAAAATTTTGTGAATTGCGAGAAAAGAAATTCAAATGTCTTGTATGATGTTACCATGGATTCATCATAAAAGACAAATGAAATGCAGGAATCGTAATCCTGATATACGAATTCTGTCTGTGTCAGCTGGGTACTGAATTCAATATATTTTGAATGCTAGATGTGACATAAGAAGGGGGAGACGTTACGATTCATTGACTATAATTTCCATGTAACTTGAACTATTGGGAGTTCCTTTGGGATATTAGACAATATATCATGTATGATAAATCAAAAGTATGATTATTTAAAATTTCAAAAAAGAATATTTTTGGAAATTATTGTCACTGAAGTGTTAATGCTACCACCTTGAGTTTCAACATTTTCACCAAATCTTTGCATATTTTTAGAGAAACAGGCTTATTTCCCTGCTTTGTATGATCCTTCCTCTTATACCCTTTATAGTTAGATTGTGAAGAAAATATAAATGGTTCACTTCTAATGATCCATTTGAGACAAATATGAGCAAGATATACCATACAAAGGGAATGATATAATAATGCAAAATCCTGATATTTAGAATGAATTATAGAACTTAACCTCACTTGAACTTAAAATGGACCAATTTTAGGCTATACGTCCAGAATTTTCTTTTTATTACATTGTACATAATATGCTTTAAATTTGAATACCACAGTTTCTCATTTACTTTGGAAATTTTTATTAGTCCTCTAGTATTCATCATTAGTCAACTTTTTTAGCCAATTAAGCAGACAGCTATTTCATTTCTGCTTTTTATTAGCTTCAATATTTTCTAGATTTACAAGTTACTAAATTATGTACTAAAAGAATGTGTACAAACATAGTAATGATATAATACATGTTGAATATTTTTTTTATTATTTTACTGGCAGATTTTATTTAAGGTTGATATTTTATGAAATCCACTTTTCAGCCAAACATGTCCTCGATAATAATGTATTTATTAGTGTAGAAAAAAATCAAAATATCATAATGAAAGTATATCATACTATATTGTTTTTTTTGTTGTTTTTTAACACTGAATAGTTCATCTACTGTGTGAACAATTAATAAAGGCAATTCTGAGATAAATATTTTGTGTAGATGAAATTACATTTATTTACCAACATCAAAAGATACGATTAAGAATCTTGTATAATCAACTTAATAATCACGCAAGATGGCCAAATCATTAAGAAACATGTGTATTATTTCAGGCCCTAAGAAACCTATGGGGGCACGTGGTGCAATGGCAGCATTCAAGAAGATGGATCAGGCTACGGGAGGCGGTAACGCACCTGCAAGACCCAAGTAAGAATTTTATTATTGTTCTTAATATAAATCTTGAATTAAGTGCTGGGCTGTAGAGTATTGGGTGGGGGAGAGAGAATTGGTGCACGATTATCATTTTTTATTATTTTTGAATTTATTATTTTCACTGTTGTTTATCTATGGCTTTTTTGTTCACCAATTATAAGTTCGAAAATGTTATTAGTACTCATTAATATTTGACTAATCTCTGTTGTTATTGATTACATACTCTCAGATATTTTTGTAAATATATGTTTGAAGTTTATATCTGTTTTATTTAAAATGATATCTTATTGGTAAATATCCTACATGTATGTTTATGCTGTATATATGAAAATTAATAAATGAACCTTGTTGATTTACAGATACAGTGAACCTGTGCAAGTTGAACACCTTTGGTATTTCAAAAAGTGTTCCACTTACTGATGTCCACTTTATATGAAGTAAATCGCTCTTGGGAGTCTGGAAATTGTTCCACTTATGGTGGTGTTCCACTTTTCAGATTTTACTGTATGTAGGTTGTTGCAGTCCAGGAATTGCTCTTTGAATTTAGACATTTTATCCTGAACAATAGATGGCAGAGGTGTAGATATCAAAAATAAAGACAATCTAGACAATTGAAGAGCCTACTACAAGCTGTAATTAATTGTAACACTGTTTTTTGTTGTAGTTTTAAGTGAAAAAAATGTTTTTAGCTCTTTTTAGACACGTTTTCTTCATTCTCTTAGATAGCAAGATGGCCACTGCTCAATTTGTTTCTATTTTATTATAAAAAGTAACAAGGTACTTCATAGAGAGGAACTTATTGAACACCCCTATGTAATCACATAACACAATATCATATTAATGCATTGACTGGGTATCCAATCACTCAAAGTTTGATAATATGGGATAAAATATTTGATATGCTTTAAATGTTTATTTTGTCGCTTCAATGTTTCATGGAATCCTGATGTAGGAATTGCTGTTCATGCTAATGTCATGATTTTAAGAACTGCCTAATTATTTTATTGCTTTTATCGTTGCACCTGCTTGCATACTGAGGATTCTGAGGGAACACAATAATATCTGACCTAAATATTATCCACAACACGTGTACTAGCAAGGCCTCGTGTTACTATTTTCAAAGCTTTTTTCACAGCTTTTGGCCCTCAAATCACCACAAAACAGCATTTTTCTTTCAATTTTTGCATCAAAAGATTTTCATTTTTTTCACCTCTAGTATATTAAGTCATGATCAGCTCAATACATGAAACCTAATGTAATGCTCATTAGGTTAATGTGGTCTGGTTAGTATCTGGGCACAGGGTTGTGGATACCACAAATTCTGTACTGCTATAACATTCAAAGTACGGTATCATATCAAAGGGTCAAAATTTGTATGATTTCATATTTGAAAACTTTCAAAACTAAGTTAAAATGACTGAATTTTGTATTGTGGAGTATTTACTCACTTTGAACATATTTGGTGATAATATTGACACATTTCATTCGATAAACTGAACCCAGTGGGTGGATCCATTGGGCCCATTATCACTACAGCATATGTTTCACCTTCACAATCAGATCTGTTGTTATTTGTACTATATAACCCACAAGGTCCAATGTCTCAGATGTTTTATAAAACCCTGATAGGAGGGTGGGGTTGCTGTTTGATTGGATAAACTGCTGATAATGAATTCCATAAAATATGAATTTGGCTGTTTTTATTGAGGAATACATGTGAATTGTTGTTAAGCCTGCACTTAGGATATTCCTTGTGGATTGGACAGTACAAGAACCTCACCATATCATGCATACATTACGTAATTTGAACATGTCATCATTTAACCGCATGCCTAACGCATGGTTTCAGCTTTTTTAACGTCGTCAAGCAAGCTTCAAATAAACCGTTGAATTTGAATAATGTGCGGCGGAGTGCAGTAGAAATAAAGGCTGAGATTTTGAAGTTTGTCCAAGCCAACACTAAAGACTATGGGGTTAGAATCCATTTTGTTTAACCTCTAATCATTGTCATAGGTGGCAGCACTACTATTTCTTAACAGGCTTCTAGGAGTCGAAATCTTCATGCGTCTTTTCTATGGTTCAAAGTTAGCAAATATTATTCATTATTCATCAGAAATGTTCAGATTCTAAATGCTACGTTCATAATTTGATATTTGCTAATTTTGGGACACCTCGTTCCCACAATTCACTTTTCTACTTAATTTATGCACGTTGTAGTCCAGCATGCAATTTCAGACCCCAGCATGCATCCTGGGATAGCCAGACATAAGATTTCACTGTGTCATTCATTTTCTCGCCTGATTTAGTCAAGAGTTTTTGATAACAAGTAATTTTTGGCATATTTTTAATTGAACAACATAAAAAGATTTAAGATTAAAAAAGAAAAGAAACAAAACCATAAGACCATTGTGAAATCTAGTATGTATAGAAACACATGTATTAATACTTAATACAATAACAAATCTACATGTATTTCAATTATTTAAATAAATTCTGTATGTTGATATCTTTGATTGTAATAATGTGTGTGATAATCTTAATGATAAATTTCTTTATTTCTAGTAGCTGTTTATAATTAATGGATATTACATTAATGGCATGTTGTTGTATATAAGTAATTATAATACTGAATGTTTTAAATAACAAATTTAAGATCTCTTTACTATCATTTTTTACCCATAATACAAGAATAGTAAAACATGTCCATGTGAGTGTGTGATGTGTTTCTTTGAAATATTGTTTTATTTTCTATTTTGAAATGCTCAACACAAAACACAATACATTACAATGCTTTGATATTCCAGTACTTCAAAGCATTTTAACTCAACTGTTTTACTATTCATTTATCTATTTTTGCTTGTTTTACTAATTTTTTTTATATATTATCATGGGCTTTCAACTCTAGTTGAAAGCCCATGATATTATCAATTTTGAACACTGTTATATCCAAAGTGATGTTTTCGCATGTACATGTAGGAACACTCAGTAGTGTTTGATTTTAGTTAAGTCAGTGTAGTTTTGCATCCATGCATGTAATTCCATATATTTTGTTTATAAAGGGACATTTATTTGACTGGATCATGGCTCAAGAATTTTTCCATTCAAGTTTTTGTCTTGAGAATTCATGAGAAACGCAAAAAAATCTGGATCCATGATTCAATTGATACATGTACTGTATAGCCCTAAGTTTAACATGTGTGAGCTTCCCTGTATATCCCATAATATGTTTAACCATGTGACCTGTCATGTGACCTATATTGTGTTTGTCCAGTTTCCATGGCACAAGTTTGAACCGGAGTCCAAGCACAGTAAAGACTGTTATATTGGAGTGGATTCAACGCATGACATCCAGCTATCCTGTAAGCCAAGCAACTCAAAATATAACCCTTGGGTCTCAAATATCAGAACCCATTTCTTTGCCCTTGCACCTCAAATAATTACAAACCCCTGTCTTTTACTTTGAATCTCAAATATGAAAACCCCTTTCTTTCCCCTTGCATTTGAGAAGCCATTTTATGCCCTCAAATTTTGCATCTCAATTATTAGAACCCCTTTCATTGACCATGCATTTCAAATATACGAACCCCTTTACTTGCCCTTATATCTCAAATATGAAATTCCTTTTGCCCTTGTATTTCAAATAGGAGAACCCGGAGAACCCCCTTCTTTGCCCTTGCAACTCAAATGAACTTTCAAACATCTTGAACTTTAAATATGGACACCAAGTATATAGTCAGTGCACTTTAGCTTTAGAAAAAACCTTTGACTGGGGCTTTGTTCAAGACAGTGTAGCTTTGAAGCTTTGCTTCATCTTTTTCTGCTTATAGCTGGAGGTATCCATGTCATTAATTCATTTCTATCCTCCTCAATTTTAAGATGATTTACTTAATAATATTTTCCATTGTTGTCTAATATTTTATACTTAATGGTGTACTTATGTATATGTAATGGGCGCTTATTTCATTTCAATCATTCAGATGACAAAATCACCCATATGACAACTCGCTGAAATCTTAGTATGTGACAAAATCTGAGCTGTCTGTATCTGTTTGCTTGCTTGTTTGATTGCTTGTTTATTTATTTGTTTGTTTGTTTGTTTGTTTGAGGCTTGAAGTGAATAATGTAGGAATGAAAGTATTGTATTTGAAAGGGGGTGAGAGGGGTGGGGTCAAGACACCAGGATCAAAGACAATTGCTAGTATGAGATGAATATCCACATGTTCTGTCTATACTAACACAACACTACTACTTTCTTTTTCAGTTCTCTCATTCTAAAACTAAACCTCTTTTTTTACAGGCTTCCAACTGTATCTCAATCTTTCTTTCAGCTAAATCTTCTTTTCAGTTTTCTAAATCAGATCTGATCTCTATTCTCTACTTGAGTGCATGAGTTTCGAAGCACTCTAGTGTGTTTAAGCACTATAGTGTGTTGAAGCCATCTTGTGCACAACTCCATGACTCCAAAAATTTGCCTCTTCAAACAAATTGAAATATTGAGCAAGTAATCATCTGTGATAAACCTTTGCAATTCGCTGTATATGTATTTGAAATCAAAATCAAATGGCAAGAGAGTCATTTCAATGGGATGTGCACTAACTGGACCCTCACACACTCGCAAACTTCTCAATCTCCAATATACACTATATTTCACCTGTAAGTGTAATCCACTCTGTGTCTGTGTAGTTTCCTTGGAGCTCCTGGACCTGGAGCTGGAGGTGGTGCTGGCAGGGGGGTGAATATACAACGTAGCCCCAGTACCATAAAACAGATGTTATTGCAATGGTGCCAGAGACAGTGCAAGGACTACCCTGTATGCTACTTTCTTTATATAGCTTGCTGCCTTGCTGTGTGGTGTCTCAGTGTAGTTTCTCTACATAATTTGTTGCCTCATTTGTGTGGTGTCTCATAGTTGCCTTATAATCGCATGTACTCACAGAGCTTCTGTTTAACTCATGTATGAAACATTGCAGCTCATCGCTTTAACACCATTATAGAACATCATTATTTTAGGCCTTTATACCATATATGGAAGGCCTTATTGATGGTTTTCTGGGTAACACCATATATGGAAAGTTATAAGGAAGATTATATGGAAGGTCATAGATCTTGTTTTTGTATAACACCCTGGAAGGTCATGGCTTTCTGTGCAAGACCAAATATAGAAAATGCAGAAATAGGCTGACTCTCAAGAAAGAAATCCTAATGAAGAATCAAGTCTTAATAGATGTCCTAATTGACATTGTCAACATATTTTCTGAACAAAAGTCACAGTCTTCTATTGGTCTCCTCGTTCATCATTGTGTCTATACAGAGGATCATGTCATACATGACATGTAGGTGCATAACATAAGGGTGGGGACATGTAGGTGCATATTATAGGAGAGGGGAATGCTGCCATTACATCGTTTTGGCTTACTGTCATTAGCTTTACATATCATAGATACATTGAACATTTGATAAGTCAAGTTGATCAGCCAGAATACTAATTCTACTTGGCCTACTTTAAGGTAGTTTCGTTTGTTCAGAACTTTAAATGAAAATGTAGTTCACTGAATTACATCTAGAATGTTTATGAATACTTAATTAATAAACTAGGTATATTTGCACACTCTGTGCAAAACTGAAAGTTGTAAGTCATAATCATATGAAGTGAGCTATATGTACTTGAAAATAATGTGGGACTCCAATAAGGAAGTCATTCAATTTTCTGAACATACGAAACTACCTTAAGATCTGTTCAGGGAATTACCCTCCACACAGGGTTGGGTTCATGTAAGAAGCGTGTGTATGTACATGTAGTATGCTTGGGGTTTTGTAACAGTGATGCTAAATGTAACAAGTTAATAGCTAGTGCCCTATAGGACACATCATTCCCAAAAATACAGCTCTCAGAAATAATATATTGTTCAGTGACATGAGACTAACATTAATGTATCTATTCATGTAGCTTATTGTGAAGACAGATTTTCATTAATTATATTGGTTTCCTGCTTAATTGTCTTCACTTTCTATTAGATAATTAAACCATCCCGATTCCAGTTCCAAGATTCCAAGAAAGTTGCTTTCAATCAATTTAGAGGAACTTTCACCACATAAATCATGCTTCTGGGCACCATATGATGATCATTGTGTGTATGCATATATGTATGCAAGGGTGTGTTACTTTTTGCTGTATACAACATTAAAACATATACTAGTAGCTATTTAGATGTTAAACGCTATGCATATTTTATAAATGTAGAAATTATTGCAAATGTTGAATTTTCACTTTTGATTAACAATGAGATTGAAGTCTTAAGATAAATTACAATAAAAATAAATTTAATATTTTAAGGATTTATTTGAATAAAATAACAGCCGAAATAAACATTGTTTTTTAGAAAATAAAAAATTTCTGTGTAAATGAAAATTCACCTCTGAGATTAATAAAAATGAATATATGCATGGAAGAGAATGGTCGACTTGAAAAGTAGTATTACATGAGCATTAACATTGCTTTGAACTTCACATTTCAGATCGAGATTACCAACTTCAGTGGTGCCTGGTCGGATGGCAGGGCATTCTGTGCTCTCATTCATCACTTCTACCCTGATGCTTTCAACTGGGAGGAACTTGATCCCAAGAAACGTCGCTATAACTTCACACTTGCCTTTGATACAGCAGAGTAAGTTAAATCTTGGATAACATTTTGAATCTTGGGAAATACTTCTGCTGAAAAATCTAAGGAAGGGATCATAAATAACTTTAAATGATAGATTTTTCATAGTTTTCTACTCATTCTAAGGGTACTTGTTACAAAATATAATTAAGCTTATGTTTATAAGCATATTTGCATGGGCGTAGCCACCCCCGATCGAACCCCCCCCCCTCCCACCCCACCAAAAAAGAAAAAAGCAATATTGTAAAACTTGCTGAAAAAAAACATTGACAAATTATGGTTTGAAATGCTTAGAAAGCACCATATACTGTACAATGTTAATTTAAAAAAATTAACCCTTAACCCCCCTTTTTAGGGCTCACTTCACTTGCATTGATTCAAACCTTAAAATTCGCTGCACCCCTGATTCGTCTTCATGTTTCATGTGAAGTTCAATGATAATCATATGGAAGCTCATTAATGAATGAATCAGACATATTTATGGAGCTGCTGGACAAATTTTACTCACACATAAAACAATAATTAACAATGTAATTAACATTTCACTCCTAGGGGCTGGGTCAATTTAGTTAGGTCTTAACCCCCCTCCCCCTGTTGAAAGTCAAAATGTTGATTCCCTCTTGAAGTGTTCATATAAAGCTGGCATAATGTTTTCACTTGCAGGAAGCTAGCTGACATTGCTCCCCTCCTTGACGTGGAAGACATGGTGATGATGAAGAAGCCTGATTGGAAGTGTGTCTTCACCTACGTTCAGAGTTTCTACCGGAGATTCCGCAACCACGAGGAAAACGCTGACAAACCTGCCGAGCAGTAGACTCCATATAAGGGATATCGTCCAGTAGATTTAATGTGCTCTTAATTTCATGCTTAGAATGCAGTCAGTAACCAGTAACTGTTATGTGTAAGTTGTCGCGGAGGGTTGGCGAAAGTTCGCTTTTGATTCAGATTTGTGTGTCACATTTTGTCAGCCAATCAGTGAAGTTCACCATCAAGGAGTCAACTGGAGGGGGTAATGAGGTAATGACTACAATTACCTTGGTTACCAGAGTAACCGACTCGTCCCAACTCCCTAGAAGTGTCATATAGGTGGATGTTCAGTTATGTTACATGAGTGGAGGTCAGATGTTGATGATATTATAATGACATTATCTCAGTCGTACTTATAGGATCGACATACACTGATTATGTTCATCAGAATCCATGGTACAAGTGTCAAAGATCATACAAAAAGTGTCAAATATATCCCCATCTTTAGGGAAGTACAAATATGATCATGATCACATTGACAAAGTAACAATAATCACATTGCCATTTGGATCTATTTAAAACCCATAGGAGTATGAAATGCTGCTGATGTGAAAAGCAAGTATGTAGGAAACTATAGATAAACCATAATCTTTATCAAGAAACTATTGATAACGCAATTAATTGTGGAGAAACTGGATAGCCAATAAAACTTTAAAGAAACTATGGATAACCCTTAAAACTTTAGAGAAACTATGGATGACCCATGAAGTTTTAGAGAAATGATGGAAAGCCCATTTAATTATGGAGAAACTGGATAACCCATAAGAGAAACCATGGATAACCCATGAACTTGAAAACTACGAAAACGGATATACATTGGCATTGTGTTAACATTTAACCCACATTCAGACTTTTAGCTTTATCTTTGACAGATAATATCTGTTTTCTCTATAAGGTAGTTTGTGACTTATATTTCATTCATAGTAGCAGATTTTTTAAACACAAATGAGCATATAGATTATTTTGGTTTTCATGAACTGTGTCCATATGAAGCTTTACCCGGATTGTACAGTAGAAAGACTAAATGTTGTGTATATATTTGTAGAAGTAAAGTTCAATCACATCATAAATAAGCCACAAATTCTGGTATTTATTTGGCTTAAATGTGTGTGTAGGGACTGTAGCAGGATAGAACTTACTTTAGATTTAGAGATTCACAGCTCATCTTTGTATTGTATTGATAGTGATGAATTAGCACAATTGGCAGCAATTGCTTTTCATATAAAAACTCAAGGTTAACAGTTTGGTTTATCAAAATACATCAATACACTTTTTGTGGCATTTGTGTTCACAGTTTGTAGAGAGGAGGTTGATTTCTACCATAATGCAGTATGTTCAATTTCTCAGTTTTCATTGCCATTGGTCTATTTGGTCAATAATCATGGATAGGTGCCATACAAAATAATTTATAAACTCTGAATTTTTAGACATTTTAAAACTGCATTTCTATTTCATTACATTATATTTGTGTATTGAAACATATTTTATGTGTAAACACCTGCACATGAAAAATGCAACCCCTGTATACACAATATTTGAGTGGCCATAAACACCCTTTGCAATGCATTGTGGTACCCCACCTCCCCTGATGATTAGATAATGAACAATGTAGATTACATGAATATTCATAAGGAATCTGCATGTGTTATCTTAGCATGTAATGTATATTTTATTTTAGTATGAATGATGTAAAATTTGTAAGCATTTATAAATATAAGTGATGTGTGTTCAACCTAGGCAATAATTTTGATTGATATCAAACACTGTTGGTGCCATAAACTAGTGTCCCAATGTCCCCTTGGCGACTTACACTAGTGTCCCAATGTCCCCTTGGCGACTTACACTAGTGTCCCAATGTCCCCTTGGCGACTTACACTAGTGTCCCAATGTCCCCTTGGTGTCTTGCACTAGTGTCCCAGTGTTGTCATACAATAGTGTCCCAAACGGTGTCATAATAGTAAAATAGTAAATGTAAATTTCTTCACACACAAACAAGCACTATGGGCCAGTATGTTTTTCATTTACATAGAAATGTACAGTATCAGAGAAAAGTACAATATCAGAAAATGAGTTTTTTCAGGTATCAAAAAATGCACATTGCATAGGGATTATGAAAGTACAGGTTGTCCCAGAAGTCATATATGAAACAACAAAACATGTATCAAGAATTGATTCATCCTTTCTAAAGATGTTGAAACATTTTAGAAAGATACTCCAACTTGATGTTTAGAAACCTCACAAATGTTATGATTCTTGGGTCAACCTATATTATCATAAATGAAAGAACATGCACTTTATTAGAAGAAACATTATCTCTAAATAGATTGATTTTACAGAACATGGTAGTACTAATATAGGTACTCCTGTGGTAGTACTAATATAGGTACTCCTGTGGTAGTACTAATATAGGTACTCCTGTGGTAGTACTAATATAGGTACTCCTGTGGTAGTACTTATATAGGTACTCCTGTGGTAGTACTAATATAGGTACTCCTGTGGTAGTACTAATATAGGTACTCCTGTGGTAGTACTAATATAGGTACTCCTGTGGTAGTACTAATATAGGTACTCCTGTGGTAGTACTAATATAGGTACTCCTGTGGTAGTACTAATATAGGTACTCCTGTGGTAGTACTAATATAGGTACTCCTGTGGTAGTACTAATATAGGTACTCCTGTGGTAGTACTAATATAGGTACTCCTGTGGTAGTACTAATATAGGTACTCCTGTGGTAGTACTAATATAGGTACTCCTGTGGTAGTACTGATATAGGTACTCCTGATTAACAATAATAATGTGTGCAATAATGTCTCCTTAATGTACATCCATTTTAATCTCTTAACCATTTAGTGTAACATTTTAGTATACTGTTTTTATTTTTAGATTGTAATTGCATTGCTGATTCTATACAAAGACATTGTTTTGATAGGCTTGGACATATCTTGTTGGAAGTTATGGTTTGAAAATGCACTAAATGACGGCTTTCATGTGTAATTCGTCGATATGTCAAAAGTTTCACACTCTATCTAGTCAATAACTGTAAAATTAGTAGACTGTATGAATTTAGTTAAAAAGCTTTAAATTGTTTTAGATTTCTATACTCCACAGCACCTCTATTGTTGTCACAGGAATTATGAATTGAAAATTTTGATGAAAAGTGATTTAATATTTTACAAATTTCCTGATAACCGACACTTTTTGAATCCCCTGTAATATTATTTATTGTGAAAGTTATAATGAAAAGAGTGCAAAAAGAGAAATCCTGACATCAATTGATGACAGTTTGATGTCAACACATACAGGCCCGTAGCCAGGATTTGCCAAGGGGTTCACTTTTTGAAAATTTCCAGGGGGGTTCAATTTTGGTCCAAAAATAGCCAAACTCACTTAAAATGTACTTAGAATGATGAAAAACTTCATGATTTTGAAAGAATTTTTGGCCGGGGGGGTTTTGCTTGAACCCCCCTGGCTACAGGCCTGACATACGACTTCAAATATGTAAAAATGTAAAAAGCGCAGTACTGTATGCATGTGTTAACTAAGACTTCTTTTAACTTAATGTTTTAGTGAATATATTGTTTTGCATATATTTTATGTATTATGTTATTAAATAAAATATGAAATGTTTATATAAAAAATGTGTTATATTTGAAAGGAATTGTAAAAATGGATATAAGATGAAGTTAGAATTGCTGGTAATTTAGCCTTACCCCATTTAACGTGCTACCCCTTTCAGAAGTAACTGACATCGGGAAGAAGAAACTTTTGATATAAAAATGGGAAAAGGAAATATCTCATTTAGACAATAAGTCAGACAACTTATAAAATGTGGCGAGATTGGGTCATCAAAGTTATCAGGATAATGAAATCAAAGAAAACATTTTTTCATCAAAAAGGTGCCTTTCTAGGTGTCTCGATGTTGCATTCTGGCTGCCAATCCTCCTTGTTCTCGGCCCATATTAGTTTAAACAATTTTAGGGTGTATTACGACATAATAACCACCACAGACCCACAGAATACAGCGAACATGTACACTGTACATGTATCATTTGAACAAGTTGTCAAAGGGTCCAATTTATTGATTCATGGGGTACTGGACAATTGGAGTGTTTTATATGTCTCTGTTTTGTTCACTACAAATATTTGACTTTTTGTGACGGTGGTCTTGAGTTTGAAATCTGTTGAAAAGTGTTGAAAATTCGAATAGATGGCGGAAAAAGTGGTCAGATCTTTTGATTTTGGTGACTCTTTTTTCTAGAGACATTTCGAGTTCCAAGGGGGACATATGGAGCTATAATGTGGTATATGTGGTTTGGTAACTGAAATCTTTGTTTTTTCATAATTGATCCGAAGATTTTCATGATTTTCAATTGAATTGTATGGGGCCATATAATAGTGGAGTTATCCCTATTCTAGAGAAAAAGATAATACTGGATTCTGTTGGTGCTGCCATCTTTATATCGGCCCAGAACCTATGGTTTTTTGTTCCTTTCTAACAATTCTTGAGAATGAAATAAAAGGTCTTTCCGAACCTTGTTGGAACAAAATAGCATATACAACATGTTTTAGACCTCTCAATATTATAAAGTTATGCAAAGGAAATTTTGGTTGATTGAACAAAAAGTATTGAAAAATTGAAACAAACCCCCCAATAGATACAAATTAAGATGAAACTTTTATTTCATTAACAAGATACGTTTTTAAAATCAACCCAAATTTCCTTTGTACAATTACAATATTAAGAGACCTAAACACGTTGTGTCTATGTTGTTTTGTTCCAATGAGGTTTGGAAAGATGTTTCATTTCATTCCGAACATATGATACCAAGAACAAAAGAAGTGTCTGACGTGTTTTCTAAAACAATATAGAGAAAAGTATATATATTTTTCAAATTATATTGTTACCATTCCAATGATTCCATTGACGATACCTAAAATTTTTAGAATTTTTTGATAACTGGTTAAAGAGAAATGTGTGTTCAAAAGTTCACCAATCCTTTTTTAGTTTCAAAAAGGAGGCCATATTGGATCTGCCAGACATCAAGGCTACATACTAGTATCAGACAAGTATTAAATGGGTCAAATTATTTTTGATTTATCAGTCATGGACGCCTCTGAAGATGATATAATGCAGAGGGACTGAATTAATATCCATCTAATTATTAAAGGGACACTGTTTGTTAGGTAGTTCTTATGTTAATGAACACTGAGATATTTAAAAAAAGAATCAAATGGGTCAATCTACTTTTGATTCATCAGTTATGCCTACCTCTGGAGATGATTTGTTGAAGAGACACTGAATTACATGTAATATCCATTTAGCCATTGAAGGGACACTCCTTGTAAGGTAGTTCACACCCAAAGAACAAATAGGTCAATCTATCTTTGATCGATCATTCATGGATGCCCTTGAAGATGATATATTACCAAGAGACTGAATCAATATCCATTTAGCCATTGAAGGGACACTCCTTGTAAGGTAGTTCTCACCCAAAGAACAAATAGGTCAATCTATCTTTGATCGATCATTCATGGATGCCCTTGAAGATGATATATTACCAAGAGACTGAATCAATATCCATTTAGCCATTAAAGGGACACTGCTTGTAAGGTAGTTCTCACCCAAAGAAACTAATGGGTCAATCTATTTTTGATTCTTCATTCATGCCTCCCTGAAGATGATATATTGCCAAAGGAATAAATCAAAATCCATGTAGCCGTTTAAAGGGACACTGGTTGTAAGATAGTTCTCATCCCAAGTCACACTAAAGCTATCTTTGGTTTTGTGTTTTTAATATGTTGCCCTTTGTGTCGAGATTTTCATCAAAGTTTTATCGTGCAAGGCAACACATG